GGCTTACAAAATAGTTAGGAAACAATAAAATGACAATACAAAACCCTAACTATCAATCTTTACTTTAATTGTAAATGGATAAAAATTCTCCAATCAAAAGTCAGAGAATGGGTGAATGGATTAAAAAAACAAGATCCAACAATATGCTGCCTACAAGTGGCTCACTTAACCTTTAAGGATACAGAATGACTTAGAGTGAAGGTATGGAAAATAATATTTAAGCAAATGGTAACCAAAAGAAAGCAGAGGTAGTTACATGTATCAGGAAAAATATACTTTAAGATAAAAATAGTCATAAGAGACAAAGACGTTCATGATATAATGATAAAGGGGTCACTTGATGAATAATCCTATATAATAAGAGAGGAATATGCTAATTAGCCATTATGCCCTGAGGCGTAACAACCAAGCGTGTCATGACCAGATCACAGATCAGCAGGAGGGTGGGCCGGTAAGGTACAAGCAGGCTGCAGAGAGCTACAGGAGAGAGCAAGGCAACAAGCTATGAGAAGGGTGTGGGGGGAGCTACAGGAGGGCGAGGCAGCAGGCGGAGAGCTACAGGAGGGCAAGGCAGTGGGTGGAGAGCTACAGGAGGGTGGCAGCGACCTACTGGCGCATGGATTCATGCGCAGGGCTACTAGTATATAATAATTGTAAATATTTATGCATCAAATATTAGAGTACCTAAATATATAAAGAAGATACTAACTGAAATAAAGGAATAAATAAACAGCAATGTACTAATAGTTGGGAATTTTAATACCCCTTTCTACAATGGCTAGATTATCCAGACAGAGAATTAATAAGTGAATTTGAAGAACAGTTAATTTGAACAACACTATAGACCAAATGAACCTAACAGACGTGTACAGAATATCCCATCCAACAGCAATAGAATACACATTATCAATTCCACACAGAACATTTTCAGGGATAGATCATATATAGGGTCATAATATGTCTCAACAAATTCCGGAAGATAGAAATTATATCAAGTATATTTTATAACCATAGTGGTATAAAACCACAAATCAGCAATAGGAGGAAAGATGGAAAACTCACAAATACTTGGAAATTAAAATACGTTCCTGAATAACCAATAGATCAAAAAAGAAATCAAACCAATGGATCAAAAAAGAAATCAAAAGGGAAATTAAAAAATATCTTGAAACAAAAGTGAAACACAACATATCAAAATTCATGATATGCAACAAAAGCAGTTCTAAGCAGGGAGTTCATAGGTATACATGCCTATATTAAAAAAGAGAAAGATAAATAACCTAGCTTTATACCCCAAGGAAGTAGAAAAAGAAAAACAACCTTAGACCAATGTTAGCAGAAGGAAATTATAAATATTAGAACAGAAAAAGGTAAAATAGAGAATAAAAAAATAACAGAAAAGATTAACAAAGGTAAGAGTTGGTTTTTTTGAAATGCTAAACAAAATTGACAAACCTTCAGCTAGACTTACCAAGAAAAGAGAGAGAGAGAACTCAAGGTTAGAAATGAAAGAGGAGACATAATAAATGATACTCCAGAAAGACAAAGGATCATAATAAATTGGACAACCTAGAAAAAATGGATAAATTCCTGGAATTATACTACCAACCAAGATTGAACAATGAAGAAATAGAAAACTGCATAGATCAATAACGTATATGGAGATTGAATCAGTAATGAAAAACCTCCCAACAAAGAAAAACCTAGATTTCACTGATAAATTCTATCAAACATTTAAACAAGCATTAATGCTAATCTTTCTCAAACTCTTTCAAAATTGCAAAGAGAAAGAAATACATCCAAGTTCATTTTATGAGGCCAGAACTATCCTTATAATAAAACTAGACAGAGACCACAAGAAAAAATAAATTGTGGCATGTATCCCTGGTAATAGATGCAAAAATTCCAACAAAATATTAGCAAACCTAATTCAACAATACAGTTGACCCTTGAAACACACTGGTTTGAACTGCGTGGGTCCACTTAAAAATGGAGTTCCCCCCAGAAAATATACAGTTGGCCCTCTGTATCCCTGGTTTTGTATCTGTGGATTCCCAACTGTGGATCCAAAATACTGTTTTTGATCCATGGTTCGTTGAATCCATAGATGTAGAGGGCCAACTATGCATTGTTCTATGTCATTTTATATAAGGTACTTGAATATCCACAAGTGTGTGTGTGTGTGTGTGTGTGTGTGTGTGTGTGTGTGTATTTGTAGGGGGAGGGGGTCCTGAAACTAATCCCCTGTGGATACTGAGGGATTATAGTTAAATTTAGGGGGAATGAAAAGTTATATGTGAATTTTGAACTGCATGGGGGGTTGGGGCCCCTAACTCCCACATTGTTCAAGGGTCAACTTTACATTAAAAGGATCATACACCATGACAAAGTGGGATTTATTTCAGGGATGCAAGGATGACTCAACATCTGCAGATAAACCAATGTGATATACCATATGCATAGAATTAAAGAGAAAAACCATATAATCAACAGTTGCAGAAAAAGCATTTGACAAAATTTAATGACCTTTCATGATAAAAACTCTTAACAAATTGGGTATAGAAAGAAATATAATAAAGGTCATATATGACAAACCCACATTTAACATCATACTCAAAAGTAAAAAGTTGAAAGCTTTTCCTCATAAGATTAGGAACAGGACAAGGGTGCCCACTCTCACCACTCTTATTCAATATAGTACAAGAAGTCCTAGCCAGAGCAAGTAGGCATGAAAAATAAGCAAAAGGCATCCAAATCAGAAAGGAAGCAGTAAAACTATCTCTGTTTGAAGATGACATGATTTTAATATATAGGAAAACTTAAAAACTTCACCATAAAATCTGTTAAAATTAATAAATTAATTCAGTAAAATTTTAGGATAAAAAATTAACCTACAAAACCCCATCATATTTCTACACACTAACAGTGACTTACATGAAAAAGAAAACAATCTCATGTAAAATAGCATCAAAAACAATAAAATATTGGAATAAATATAACCAAGGAGGTGAAATATCTACACACAGAAAAGTATAAGACATTGATGAAAGAAATTGAAGAAGACACAAATAAATGTAAAGAGATAGCATGTTCATAGATAAATAATGAATATTGTTAAAATGTCCATACTACCCAAAGCATCTATAGATTCAATATAATCCCTAACAAGATTCTAATATCATTTTTTATAGAAATAAAAAAAAATCTTAAAATTTGCATGGAACCACAAAAGACTTCCAAAAGCCAAAACAATCATGAGAGAGAACAAAGCTGAAGACATCACACTTCCTAATTTTAAACAATATCAATACAAAACTATACTAATCAAAGCAGCATGGCACTGGCATTAAAACATAGATCAATGGGAAAGAATCAAGAACAGAGATATATGACCAACTAATATTAAAATATGTTTATACACATACACATACATATATGGTTTATATGTAGAATGGAATATTATCTATATATATAAACCCTAATGTGCAAATAGACCCAACGGTGGAACAAACAAACAACTAAACAACCAAACAACCAGTCGCTATGATGTGTGCTGACCACCAGGGGGCATGTGCGGAACATGGCGGCCATTGGCCGCGGCCAGATGGTGGAGCAGGTGGGCACCAGACTAAGGCGGTGGGCACCAGTCGCTGTCATCAGGGTGAGCCTCTGGTGGTTACTGAAAATTTTTTGCTCCTGTGCACCATGGTCTCGCCGGATGCTCATACCTGCTGCCGGCGCCAGAGCTGCCTCTTGCACCCACTGCCAGCGCCCGGTGCCAGTCCTGATTGCTCAGCACTGTCAGTGGATGCGAGCTGCGGCTGCTGGCCCCGATCGCCCCTGAGGGTTTCTCCCCCTCCCCCTGCTCCCGAGGGGTGATCGGGGCAGCAGCTGTGGCTTGCATTCGCTGACGGCTTGCACCTGCTGACAGCACCGGCCCTGCTCACACCCACAGCTGGTGCCGGCCCCAATCACTCCGCGATACAGCGGTGCAAGTGGGGCTGGCGCTATTAGTGCATGGGAGCGGCAGTGGCAGGAGGGGTGTGGAGGATGGGCTGAGACCTGCCCCTGTGCCCACCGTGGCCTCGCGGCCTACAGTTCCTTTCAAGGTGCACAAATTCATGCACTGGGCCCCTAGTTCAGTTATAAAAGAAGAAAATTCTGCCATTTGCAACAACATGGACGAAACTTAAAGGCATTATGCTATGTGAAATAAGTCAGATAGAGGAAGACAAATATTGTAGGGTCTCATGTACAGGTGTTATCTAAAAAAACTGAGCTCATAGAAACAGAGTAGATTGGTGGTTTCCAGGGGCAGGGAGTGGGGGAAATGGGTGGGCACAAACTTCCAGTTATAAGATGGATAAGTTCTGGGGAATCTAATGTACAGCTTGGTGACTATACTTAGCAACACTGTGTTGTATAGTTGAAAGTCGCTAAGAGAGAAAATCTTAAAAATTTTCCACCACACACAAAAAAGGTACCTATGGTGGTATTGTGTCAACTTACCTTATATGCATCATTTAGCAAGACCATATATACAAATAATGTACTATTTATATATATTGGCTATATTGCTATATATATGTGTG